GCCGGGCCCCCGCTAGTGCGTGGCACCGGCACTCAAGGAGGGATGTAGGTGTTTTTTGCGGGTGTAGGGCAGAGTTTGTAGGGTTTCTAGGCTTTGTAGGGTTTGTAGGGTTTTTGTAGGGTTTTTTGTAGGCTTTGTAGACTTTGTAGGCTTTGTAGGGTTTGTAGGGTTTGTAGGGTTTGTAGGGTTTGTAGGGTTTAGGGTATTTTCAGGGTTTAGGGTTTAGGGCTTCAACAAGTCACGAAGGTTTTAGGGTTGCTCGGGAACCCCCGAGCCCTAGACCCTAACCCTACCACCGAGGCCTCCTGACACAATCGGGCTTAGGGGAATGCCTGGGCTCGAGAGGTTACTCTGGGTCTGCGTACCTTGAAGTCTCCTTATGGTTCGGGTCTGGGGTTAGGGTTTAGGGTTTAGGGTTTAGAATTTAGGGTTTATGGTTTAGGGTTTAGGGTTTAGTGTTCAGGGTTTAGGGTTACGTTCCGCCCGCACCACCACGCAGGCGTGTGTTGTGGTGCGCGCAAGTGTGCAACGTTCTCGCCCGACCCGACCGCCCACATCTCAACCTTGTCGGGCTTAGGGCTTTCTATTGGATTTGAGTTTAATCTGAGCACACCCCTTCACCGAAACCGTTGTAGCACCAAGCGAACAATATCGAACCACCCCTTCACTGAAACTGTTGTCGAAGGGGCCTCAAGCAAGCAGCCGCAATCCGAACAATATCGAACCTTGAAGGGGTGCCTGCCACGAAGGCCTCCCAGACCAAAAAGACCAAAACAGGCCGTGGCACCCAAACGGCCTGAAAAGCGGCCTCCCGTTCCACACCCCAAGCAGGCAGGGGCTTCCTCAAAAGGTCGGGCCTCCCGTTCCACCCACCCCCCGGCAGGACCCGCCCCTGCCCCACAAGCAGCAAATTCAGGGATCATTTCTGCCATCCAACCCTAAACCCTAAATCCTAAACGCTAAATCCTAAATCCTAGACCCTAAATCCTATACTCTAAATCCTACATCCGAAATCCTAAACCCTAAATCCTAAATCCTAAGACCAAATCAGGGGGGTGTGGGGTAATTAGCTTAGGAGCTAAGAGCAGGACTGTCGCCTGCACGCAGGTTCACTTAGCTCTAAGCGTCGACCGTCCTCACCGGACGGGGGCTGAAGCCCCTCGCGTGGACGCCCCGCGCCCACCAGTGGGGACGCGATAGCGACCGCCGCCAGCGCTAGCTAGGGAAAGCGGCTGTCTTAATAGGGTTTAGGGTTTAGGGTTTAGGGTTTAGGGTTCGCGCCTAGAGTTGGGGACTTTTGGAAGTCTTCCCATGGTTCATGGCTGAGTCTTCAAGAAGCTTTGTCGTTGCCATGCCTAACCTTGTCATTGCCATGCCCAAGCCCCTTGCAAAGCAACTTGCAATCAGGGGTTTAGGGTTTAGGGCTAGGGTTTAGGGTTTATATAGGGCTTAGGTTTTAAAACTTTAGGGTTTAGGGTTTGAGGTTTAGGGTTTAGGGTTGAGGGTTTAGCATGTTTGATGGTTGAGGCCTCAGGGTTCAGGGGCTTGAAGCTCAGAACTATAAATCCCCAATTCCGAGGCTTGGTAAGTAGGGTTAGCACGGTGGGGATTGTAATAGTAAGGGACACTAAGTAGACTTACTAAGCTTTCAAGTAACTCTCCCCAAATCCTCCACCATAAACGAGGTGCGGAGGCTCCGCCAATTCTTGCGACCGGTGGCAGCCTCAGCAAGCGTGGTTTCGCGGTGTTTAGGGTTTAGGGTTTAGGGTTTATGGTTTAGGGTTTAGGGTTTAGGGTTGTATGTTTTCAAAAGAGGTTCTGGGTACACGCATAGAAAAATGTGACAATAGTTTTTGGCAATACATTGAAATAGTTTGGCAATAGTTTCTGTGTTGCAATATTTTCGATAATTGTTTTGACAATTGTTTGGCAATAGTTTGTTAATATAAACAATTGCTTGGCAATAGTTTGTTAATATAAACAATTGCTCAACACTTGTTTGGCAATAGTTTTGTTAATATAAACAATTGCTCAACAATTGTTTGGCAATAGAACAAGTGTTAACAATTGTTTGTCATTTTTGAAAATTACTAAACAATTGTTAAACAAGTGTTTGCCATTTTCGGAAATTGCTAAACAATTGTTAAACAATTGTTTGCCATTGTTGGAAATTACTAAACTATTGTCAAACAATTGTTTGCTATTTTGCCTGCCTCAAAACAATTGTTGGGGGTCCTGGGAATGTATCCGACCATGAACCTTTTTGAAAACATTCAAGTTTAGGGTTTAGGGTTTCGCAGTAGGGGTTTGGGCTCGCGGGTCTTCCGGTTTAGGGTTTCAGGCTTATTTTGGTTTGAGGGTCCGTGGGTTTATTTAGGGTGCAGGGTTGATTTAGAGCTTAGTTCTGTTTAGGGTTTTGGGTTTGTGGCTCATGGGTTTAGTGTATATTGAGGGTTTAGGGTGTGTTTGTGGAGGCCGAGAGTATGCTTAGGGTTTATGCAAGGCATATTAGGATCTGTCATTGTAGCGTACAGAAATTTGGGTTTGCAGCTTGGGGGTTGAAACTGTGGATGCGTGGTTTTCAGGGGTGGCAGGAGGTCCATGGATTCCCTTCGGAAGAACTTCCCCTTTTTAGTCCAACTAAGGTGTTGGGTTTGGGGTTTAGGGTTTAGGGTTAGGGTTTAGGGTTTAGAGTTTAGGGTTTAGGGTTAAGGGTTAAGGGTTTAGGGTTTAGGGTTTATATGGTTTTGCGTTGAGGTGGATTCCATGGCTCAGTGATGCTTCATAGGCTTCCGGATCGAACCCCCGGAGGCCCAAAACCCGACATGTCGGGTTCCTGCAACCCCTAAACAATGGAACCCTTCATCCTGAAGCCCGTAGACCTTTACACCCCTAAGGCCCTAGACCCTCGAACTCGAACCCTCCCAAAACCCTTGAACCCTCAAACCCTTGAACCTTAAGCCTCTTAAGCCTCTCAAACCCTAAACCCTAAACCCTAGACCCGTGAAAACCCTTACAAACCCTGAGCTCATCTCAAGCCAGGTGTTGCCACCGGGAGCTGATCCGCGACTGCTGGAGTCTGCCAAGCTGCATTGATGAACCCATCAACCCAAAAGCTTGTGAGGGTTTCGGGTTTAGGGTTTAGAGCTTGGGGCTACTCCCCTTATTTAAGCCGGTGGATAATTTGAGGGCCCATGCTGAGGGACCATGTAACTACCCTAAGAATAGGGATTAGGGTTTAGGGTTTAGGGCCTCATACGGGCCCAAAACCGCTTTTGGAGAGTTCTTAAGACACGATAAGCAGGCCCGGCAAAAACTGAAGCCCTCAAGCCCTGATCCCGAAGCAGATACCAGGGTTGAGGGTTGACGGGTTAGGGTTGAGGGTTTCGGGTTTAGGGTTCAGGGTTTCAGGTTTAGAGCAAGCGAAAACGGAAAAGGAGTCGTTTTTCCCAAATCCTGGAGGACCCACGACGGGGGGGCCTTCCCGTAGCCTGCGTAAGGGGTCTTCTTGTATAGCAACCGAATAACTCGAAAATGAAGGGGTCATCTCTCCGCTAAGCCTTTGCGTATTTCATACTGGAATTGGCTACTTTTTCGAAAACCTCGGGTGCCACCCCCCAGGCAACGCACAGGTCGTTGCCTCATGTTGCCTCCTTGGTTTAAAGTTTAGGACTGATTGATCAAGAATACCTCCATCCACATGCGGCTTCTTCGCGTACATGTGGAGGTTTGAGAAATTAGGGATACCTTGTTGGGGCCCTTATGAGTATAAGGGATCCTACTATTTGGGGTCTATTTTAGGGTCCCCTATTTTCGTAAACCCCCATGAGTTCTTCTTTCACGGAACTGTAGCACTGCCATCCTCAGCAGAGGCCTGAGGCAGTGTCTCAAACTGTTTCCTTGATTCTGTTACCCCACTGTCTGCACCCCTAAACCCTAAACCCTAAACCCTAAACCCTAAACAGAAAAACGAACAAGGACCCTGAGATAAATCCTATTCAGGGAAGGCGCAGGCTTCAAAAGGCTGGGAGCCTGAACCTCGGCTAGGGAGGGCTCAAAGATAGAGTTCAGGTTCGGGTTACCCTAAACCCTAAACCCTAGTTATTTTGGGCGGAGGCTTCCCAGGTTCATAGGTCTTTTGGGCTTAAAAGCTCAGGGGTTATGAGGGTTGGGATTTGGTGGTTTAGGACTATTAGCTTCTTTTGCTTGTAATGTGACGGAGGATTTAGGGGTTGAGGAGTTGAGGTTGGAAAACCATCCCTGTTCGCTTCGAGGTGTGCCTCCGTCGACAACTTCCAGGGACGGGAGAAGGAGGGGTTTGGGTTTGAGGGTGTGGGGCGTAGGGTTTAGGGGCCTTGGCCAAAGCAGTATAAGCGTACAGGCCATAGGCACCCAAAGCAGTAACATTCCTAAGAATGATTCCCCAAACCCTAAACCCTGAATCAAAAAAACCCATTGAAAGTACGGGAACGGAGCCTTGGCCAAGGCCACATACACGAGTAGCATTTAGGCTCCATCAATGTTTAGTGGAACCCTAGACCCCAAACCCTAAACCCTAAACCCTAAACCCTAAACCCTAAACCCTAAACCCTCTAGGGAAGCTTCTTACTGTTTAGGGTCTTCGTAGGGACATGTAGGGATAAAGCAGACAAGCGCACAGGACCATCCCCTAAGCCTTCTGGGTTTCCCTACTACTCCCCTCTATACCACCCCCCCCCCCCAGGTGCCCCCTTTAGTAGCCCTTGATTAGGCTTCATTATCCCTAAATAGCCTTATACTTCTGGGACGAACCTACGGGGGGTAGTGCCTTCGTCAGCAGGCAAACACGCAACTTTCGTTCACGCGAGTCGAACAACATCGCGATGGATCTGGGCGGCCCCGAACACAAGCACAAGTGAGCGTGGGGTTGAGGCTTTCGGGTTTAGGGTTTCGAGTTTCGAGTGTAGGGTTTAGGGTTTAGGGTTTAGGGTCCGAGCCATGGACACAAGCACTCTTTGCTT